TCCGTTTCACAGGTGCTGCTGTCAAGCCAAGTCCCTCCCATTCTATATCTGTGCCTTTGATTTTTTTGTACCTAAGTGTAGGACTTTGCACTTATCTCTATTAAAATTCATTTTATTTTCTCAGCCCACTGTTCCAGCCTATCTAGATCATTTTGAATCCTGATTTCTTCAGAATTAGCAATCCCACCCATCTTTGAGTCATCTGCAAATTTGATAAGCATCCCCTCTATGTCTTCCTCCAGGTCATTTATAAAAACATTGAACAACACCGGGCCTAGGACCGAGCCCAGCGGCACTCCACTCGAGACTTCCCTCCACGTAGAAGCAGAGCCATTTATGAGCACTTGTTGGGTACGATTTTTCAACCAACCATGAATCCATCCAACGGTTGCACCATCCGGCCCACACTTAACCAGCTTATCCTCAAGGATATCATGAGAAACTTTGTCAAATGCTTTACTGAAATCTAGATACACTATAGCCACAGCACTGCCAGAGTCAACCATTTTAGTAACTCTGTCAAAAAAGTAGATAAGGTTGGTCTGGCATGACTTATTCTTGATAAACCCATGCTGCCTACAACAAATTAACTCATTCCGTTCAAGGTGCTCACAGACAGAGCGTTTAATGATCTGCTCTAGAATTTTCTCAGTTATTGATGTCAAACTGACAGGCCTGTAATTTCCCAAGTCCGTCTTTTTTCCCTTCCTTTCTTGAAGATTGGGATAACATTCGCTCTTCACCAGTCTTCTGGCACAACACCAGTACTCCAGGACACCTCAAAGATTAGAGCCAGAGGCTCTGAAATAACATCTGCAATTTCTTTTAGTACCCTGGAATGCAAGCCATCCGGCCCTGGAGATCTGAAAGTATTTAAGGCAACTAGATGCTCTCTGACCATTTCCTTACTTATTCTGCATTTGTGGCTACCTTTAAATATGTGTGTATTTATCAGCCAGAATGTGGCAGGGGCCTTAAACCGTTTACCCAAAGTATCTTCCATCCTGAAGCAGATGGAAGTTTTTCACACAGTCACATTTTTGCAAGAGTGGAACGTAAAAGGGAAAAGTTCACATCTAGATGTGTGAGCAAGACTGAAAAGCAAACACTGAAAGCGGGAGGAAGAATTGGGCAGATGAACAGATGAGTTTTCGTGTGTCTATGGCTACCCTATTTTAATATTTTAATTTTTAAAAATATTTATTTGTTTACAACGTTCCTTATTTTTGCAAAGTTACTAATTTTTCATTAGGACATTATGGCAGAAAAACCAGTGAGCCTGGGGCATTTCTGTGTAACAGCCTGGATTGGCTGAGGCCTCTCTGTTTGGTTCCTCTCCCGTAAGGCTTTGCAGGCTTAGCTGTTGTCATCTCACAAGCCTCTCTCTAGCCTGGCCAGACCCTCTGCTTCCAATAAGGACACAAAAAAGTCTAAACATTCAGGTTGTCTACTGAAGGCTCACAGATTCTTAGAACGAACTTTTATATGATATTTGTGATTCTTTATTTTGACACATAACATTCTTGACTGTCTAGGGCAACTAGGGTATGAGTTCAGGGTAAAACAGTTCTCTTTATTTTGGTACTCTTGGTATGGGTTTTTTAAATACGCAGTCGGAACCTGTTCACATTCACTCAATAAATCCCATTGACGTCAACAGGAGTGAACAACTCAAGAAAGTGTGCCTACGGCACCTTTACTCAATTAAAGGGGTGGTGCTCATCTCCGTTTCCAAGCCAAAGATCCGGCACTGTCCAAAGACGTTTCTGTGGTCATGTGGCCGGCATAACTAGATGTCGAGGTGCACGGAATGCTGTTCCCTTCCCACCAAAGCGGTGCCTGTTTATCTAATTGCAGTTTCTTGCTTTCGAACTACTAAGTTGGCAGGAACCGAGGCCAGAGACGCGAGCTCGCTCCGTCACGCGGCACTCGGGTCTCAAACTGCCAAACTATCGTGTTTCTGGTCTGAAACTCGGCGTCTTAACCTCTGAGCCTCCGCAGCCCCATTAGTTAGTTTAAAAAAAGATTATTTTATTGGGGAACAAAAGGAACAATTTTGTTATTGGTCGACAGTGTATACATATTGCGTAGAACTGAATTTTCATTGCACTGTACTGCAGATCACAACAGTCTGCCTTTGACTGACTCAGACAGTTAGCCTATCTAGGTCGGTATTGCCTACTTTGCCTGGCAGCCAGTCAGGCAGAGTTCCTCCACATCACCTGCTCTGAGCTTCTTTCATGTGGAGACGTCAGGGACTGAACCTGGTGAGTTCGGCATGTGCTCTGCCCCTGAGACATGATGCTGCCTCCCCCTTGAGAATGAACACATGACGCTGCATTATACTGCACTGGCCCGCTGGTACAACAAGAAGAGGGGAGTTTAATTAAACATATTTTGTCATTAAATTTCACTTGATTCTGTTTTCACTTGTAATGTTTAAATCGGTGCACACATTCAAGAGGCCCTTCCAATGTCTCATTGTTGAAGAGGATAGCAATACAGCTTAGTATGTTTTATATGTCTGCAAACGGAATTTAAAAAAAAATTAAATGTAGGCTGGCTCGCCACCTTTCTGCTAGCTGCTTTTTTGGCTCATGGAGTAGAATTTTTGCTCAAGAGAACCCACGGCTTAGAGAGAACATTGTAAGATGTGACTTGAGCACACCTGGAGAACAGAGGGTCCAATGAATGTGTTCCCAGAGTGTCTAGGGGGGAGGAGTAAGACTCTGGAGGGCTGATTGGTGGACACAGTTGAGGGGAGGAGCAGCAGAATAGTATAAGAGGGGAGAGACAATGCTATCCGGGTGGGTCAAGAGAAGATCACTCCTGTGCTCTTTCTCTGGCCTCACCTTCTGTTTTACAGGGAACCAAGAAGTGACTCTCTCTCCTGCTCCAGGTTTCATAGCGAGATTGGCAAGATGTGACTGTCAGAATGCCATGTTGCACCATTAAGTGGGACGATGAATTAGGGAGTTATGTACCCTGTATTTTTCTGTAAAACCTCTGAAGCTGATTGTGAAGGAGGTCCTTATTAGACGTTACGTTTAAATAAATCTTGTAACTTTAAATGTGTCTGGTTTTCTCCTTTATTGAACATAAGAACATAAGAGACGCCAATGTTGGATCAGGCCAAAGGCCCCTCCAGTCCAACACTCTGTGTCACACAGTGGCCAGAAATACCAGGTGCCCTCAGGAGGTCCACCAGTGG